CAGCAGCATACATTTATGTGCCTGAACCATGACTATATTAATTTTCCTACCCTTGGTCTTAATATAGTTCCAAAGGATCTGGACCATCTGGACAACGCAAAGGAATTCCTGTTGATCCATGGTCTAAATGACATCATGTTAACTGAATCAAGTGAGCAGAAAGTAGCACATACATTGGTGAGATACAAGCTCGCCAGAAAATGAGAGATAAACCCTATAAAAGATGAGGAGATTGAGATAAGGAGATGTGGGAAAGATGCATGTGGACAGACACATGAAAGTTGACAAATATAAAGCTCTGTGTATCACATTAATCCCAGAGAGCCTCAACCTTAAAAGAGGCAACGAACAATAATACAGATAAAGTGACTTGGCCAGTTCAGTTGACTTCAGCTAGGCTTTGTCGTCATCTACCCCACTTAACAGTTAACACAATAGCCTTGTAAATGAAATAGCTGTGGTGGCAGGGATGGAAGTTCTTCATGGCCCCAACAGCAACTATCCAAAGTTAACCTAACTATTGTTGCTGTTAAAGGTCCGAACTGCCAATAACAGAGGCCTATGGTGAGCCCTCTCTCCTAAAATCAATACTAAGCTAAATAAGTAAAATATATAATAAGAAAAATGGTAATAAGTGTATAGGTAAAACAGAGCAGGGAAGGCAGATAGTGTGGACCAAGAGGACAGGAATAAATATTTTAAATAGGGTGGTCAGAAAGTAAGTGATTGAGTAGCTAGAATTATAGAATCACTAAAAATAAAGGCAAAACAAGGATATTTTCAAAAATCCTAAAACTAATAGAATTTGTCAGCAGTTGACTTGCTTTAAAGGAAATACCACAAGGAGTTCTTCAGGCAAAAAGAAATGATGTCATATAAAAGACATACAGAGACACAGTGTGGTATGAAGAATAATAGAGAGAATCTGTAAGTAAATGAATTAATAAGCTATGAATATAGACTGCATAAAGAAATAACATCTGATAGAATTTAAAATGTATATGACCATATATAAAAATGAAATACAGTTTACTTTTGAGCAACATGAGATTGAACTGGGCAGGTCCACTTATATGTGGATTTTTTTTTCCCCAACCAAACGTGGATCAAAAATATAGTATTGGCTGGTCCGAAGGTAGTGAGTTATCTCACTTGATTGTTCACAGTCAGTTACAGATTAAACTCCTTGTTCTACTACTTAACCCCCCTCCTCATTACTGCACTTGACTAGTCTTAAAAAAAA